CTGTCTTTGTCATTAAATTCTGCCGTCATTTTTTAACAATAGCACAAAAAAATCAATGTATTTGTTTTAAACAACTAAGCACAACCAATGAACGGATATTACGCACCTAAACTATGACATGACCGTTTACATCGCTATTACTCTCTCCACTAAGCACTCCGCACCAAGCGATACCAACGAATTGTATCATTGTATGCTATTTAAGTATTTATACAAAATAAGTAAATGTTTTGCACTCAATACCTTGTAATTTTGCTATTTTTTTATAGTGTTTCAAATTAAACAAAGCCCATAAGACGATAAGCATAGTGATTCGGTCCCAGAAGGATATCTGGATTATTCTTTGAGGGCATATTGGTACTCATTTTGGAAAAAATAACTGCTAATAATTTTTATAATAGTCATTAAGAACAGGCGATTGTTTCCAAAATATTTTTTTTTTATTTGTGATAACGTTCTAGGACAATTTTGGAAGTAACTTTTTTTTATGTCTTTTCCAATATAGAATAACCTCTTAAATAGTTAAATCGATCAAAAATGTACGCCATATTGAAAAACAATAAAAACCAATTTTTTTATATAAAAATAGATTTATTTCAATGTTTATACCGTTGAAATAACAGAAAAGCAGGTTGTTTGATTAATGTATAAGTACAAATAAAATTAAATTTACAACTTACATTTTTCTCTTTCTTTTGTGCTTTTACAGTTGCATAATGCTGCCTGTGATGTACTTATTTAAATTTATTTAGTCTCATCATGTGTACTACTAAATTACTTATGTTTATTTGTTTACGTTAGACGTTCTATAAATAATCGGCAATATTTACTTATCCATCCATGTAGCTGCAGAGTTTTTATCGTACTACGCTATTCAGTATTACGACACCTAAGTTGCACAGGACAGGCGTGAAAAAAAATTTGCTATTAACCACGCTGCTGAACTCATCATACGATTACTTATTGTATGTCCTCCAAAGCTCGGCACCTATTTCTGTTACACTCTTAAGTTTTTTACCTTAAATTCCTTATTTAACGTAATTTCCTTTGCTTTTTCTAGTTCTGTTGAATACATATGGTCAATTAATTGCTTCCGCCCATAGTTTCTTTGACAGCCTCTTTTTATGTAACAATGTCCTGACTGCTTCTACTAAGTCCTATTTTCTCGTTCGACCTTGCTATTTTGTTCCGCTGTATTTATACAGAAAAAACCACTTTTGCTCGGTACGAATGCTTATTTCAGATTTCTGTTCGTATATAATTACTGTACAATTTTCTCCACTTTCCTGATTCAGTCGTACAAGTGATTATATGCAACATTATGACCTCCGTCATCCTTGTGACCAATATTGTTTGAGGTTTAGCATCCTATGCCATCTAACTTTGCAGCTCAGGACCATCTTGTCACATCACACTTCTTTCTTGCAGTACACCTACTCCTTGAGTTCGTAGGAAAGCCATAGTTTGGAATTTCCAGACATTCTAATTTTTAGATCCCTCCAACTTGATAACTGCAACTTGATTGTAATTTCTTTCCATCTTGCTAACCTGCCTTGTGCATCAACTCGAGCAAGTATTTTACTTTAACGGCTTACCTTCGTTTCTTAATCTGATCAATAAAATTCCTTCTATATTATTCTATCGTTACCGCTGCTCTGGATTATCGTTTGAGCTCATATCCTTATGTTGAATTCACTGAATGATAGTACTTTTTGTATCAAAGTTGTATTATTTATTACACTATATGATGGCTCAGGCACAGTTGAATATATATCGATCGAAGTTACCTGTAACAGCTCGTGTACAACTACTATACTAATATATGTGTAGGAGGAGTGAGTATTGTTGTCATGCGCCGTATTAATTTAAAAAAAAATTATTCCCCAATAAGTACCAACTTAATTTTAATGTGTTTCATTGTATTATACTTCATCAATTGTCAGTACATAAATTAGAGCGCATTATGATACTCTGAACAGCATTATGAATATGAATATTTAAAACCTAATTTACACCCTCTATGAAATTTACTTACTGCTCCATTACTTCGTATTCAATTATTTCCAAAATTGATGTTTAACAATTAGGAAGTGGTTCTGGTACTGTGGGGAAGTACGCTATCTTGCTGAATAAACTTGTTTGCTTTATTTTGTAACACTAGAGGAGTAAGAAAGAACATCACGAAATTATAATAAGTTATTCAATGCGTTTAATACTGCTACAAGTAATTTCCAAAATGAAATAGATATATTACATTCAACGAACATTGCGTCCAACCATTTGAACTATTTACAACCTTTGGAGGGATCACTTTCCCACGCGAAGATATTTCAAATTATGAAACCATTACTAAAAAATAAATTCATGACATGACAAGATGTTAAATATACTTAAAAATGTGGCGATGAGTTACAAAGATAGAAGAGTGATACTTAGTTTGTATGAAGAGCAACAGGCAGTTATAGAGCTAGGGATGCAACGTAGAGAAGTAAATATTAGGAAGGGAGTCAGACAGGGATGCACACTGTCACCGCTACTTTTTAATCTATACATCGAAGACGCCATCAACATCATTAAAGACAGTACAACTGTAGGGATAGATGTGCAAGGGCAAAAGATTAGTATGCTTAGATTTGCAGATGATATAGCAGTATTAGCATCTAGCAAGGAGGACCTAGAGATAGCTTTAAATAAAATGGAAGCGGTACTGACAGATCAGTACTGTATGAAAATAAATAAAAGTAAAACTAAAATACTGGTATGCAAGGGAAGAAAAAGTAGGGAAAGAGCGAATATAAAGATAGGAGACGAAAAATTAGAAGAAGTGGCTGATTTTAGATACCTAGGAAGTCAGATAAGTGAGGATGGAAGGAGTAGTAGGGATATAAAGCAGAGGATAGCGCAGGGTCGTGTCGCCTTTAATAAAAAGAAGTCACTTCTATGCTCGCGAACGGTTAATTTAGAAATTCGAAAAAGGTTGTTAAAGGTGTATGTTTGGAGCACGGCGTTGTACGGGTGCGAAACATGGACAGTGGGAGCGGCGGAAAAGAAAAGGTTAGAAGCGTTCGAAATGTGGTGTTATAGGCGGATGATGAGGATATCGTGGGTAGAAAAGGTTAGAAATGAAGAGATATTAGAAAGAATAGGAAAACAGAGGACTCTATGGAAGTCAATAAAAAATAGGCGAGATAGGTTGGTAGGACACCGTCTTAGGCATGAAGGTCTACTCAGAGACATATTAGAGGCAGAAACAGGAGTTAGGAGAGGTAGAGGTAGACCTAGATTAGACTTCTGTTCGCAAATAGTTAAGGATGTGGGCTGTTCTAGTTTTAGGGAAATGCGAAGTTTAGCTCAGGATAGGAAAGAATAGAGGTACGTGTCCAACCAGTCTTAGGACTGACGATCTAATGATGATCATGATGATGATTAGATATTTGGAAGAAATTTATTCAAAAAATCGATTGCTAGCTACAAATACAAAATTTCAATAAATCAACATTAGTTTTCCAATCATAAAACCTGTTCAATTCACTGTAAACAAAATTTATCCCTTAATAAAAGTAAGCGCTATCTTTCCAATACCCTCTGTTTTTAAGTTGAAACGTAAAACTTTTACACTATGGTACAACAATTGTGCTGTCGTGAATAATTAGCAATACTATTGTACTATTCAAACTAAGACAAATTCTACTAAGCTGTCCAATATTCACAACCATTTATGTAAGACACGATGAAGAAATCATGGCGTTACGAAATGGAACCCTATTCATGACGGCTACAAACAGTTGGAACGTAAATGTGATTCTTATTTAATCAACTATGAGAAAATCATTGACATAAGCAGATAGATATATGAAAAGGAAATTACACATAATCAAGAAAGGAGATGTCCAGTTTGAAACTGTTACCCTAGAGAAGGGCTTCTTGAACTAAACAGTTAACCTCAAGATCAACACGAGAGAGAGCAACACTGCTTGTAGAAAGTAGAAAATACTCCATCTATAGAAGTTATTCTTCACATTACAGGCTATCATCACCACCCTGCCGTACTATTAATCGTATTAATTACGACATTGTGCCTCAAAAGTTGGTTCTGTCTACCCCACATGGATACATAAACTGGCGAACAACTCTAGGAATTATATAATAAGCCATTTGCAGCCCCTTTTTATCCAGCATTCGTTGAAAACGAGGGCGTCTTGTATCCTAGGGGAGGAGGAGTTACATCCGGCGAGCTTTGCCTCTACTTATGAAGCATGCCATCGACCATGACACATCCAATTAGTATATAAGCTTATTTTTCTTCAAATTCAAACTCTACTCTTAAACACTCTACTCAATAAATTATTGTTATTGGAGCCAATTTGTCTATAAAATTATTGTACTTAAATGTTTCTGATTAACCCAACCTGAGAAATGTGTTAATACTGTGTTTTTTAAAACCCCACTCGAATGTCGCACGTTAAATGCTTAATAATAATATT